AGAGAGAGAGAGAGAGAGAGAGAGAGAGAGAGAGAGAGAGAGAGAGAGAGAGAGAGAGAGAGAGAGAGAGCAAGAGCGAGAGAGAGAGAGCCCATGAGGGCAGAGCGATTGCGAAGCTTTGTATTGGGCTGAATGTTTTTTTAGGGAAATTTGGTGGGCGCTGACAAGGTCAGAGCGATTGTGAAGCTTTCTATTGAACCTCCTCCATCATTGTCGTCCTCCCTCCTCCCATCCTTCATCCTCCTCCCTTGTACCTCTTATCCATGTGGCATGACAGCTACGTCCCCTTCGTCGTCGTCTTCGTCCTTGTTTCGTTCTGCTACAATCTCAACGTCCTCTTTGCAAGTCAGGACCCCCTCCCTCCCTCCAGCTCCAATCCCAATGTTCCCTCTATGTTGCATAGACTGCTCTCCTCCACCTATCTCAGATCCCGATGCCCCTACAACATGGCACGCCAAGACACCCCACACCCTTGCCCCCTCCTACAGCGATCCCGACTTGCCTGCCATGTCATGTAATGAAAACCCCTTCCAACGTCGTCGTCCCCCTCCCTCCTCCTCACTCCTTAACCTCCATCCTGTCCTCCTCCCTCCATCGTCATCGCCGTGGGTGTCCTCCCTCCTCCTCCTTCCTCCTCCTCCTTGATCCTCCTTGTCCCTCTTCCTCATCCATCGTCGACCTCGGTCACTGTCACCGTTGTCATCACACACTCAAACACACATGCATACGTTCATCCTCCATCAATAGATGCTATGCCGAGGCATGTGGACAACTGGCATGCCTCCTGACGATTCGGCCAACTCCTCTGGCCACATTTTACAAAGAAAGGCAACTACGAGTGAATGAAAAGCCACCTAAATGTTTGACTACTTTGCAAGTGAACTGCCCATCTGATGGAAAGACTGGATGGACTATCAATGGAGAGAGAAAAAAAACAGAAACACTAAAGTTCATTGTCTGATTTGTTTTATAAGTCTCCGTTTCATCGATTGGATTGCTGCTCTTCCCCATAGCACTCATCAGAGCTTTGCATCACCAACATTTGGCATGGTCATCAGTACAGGGGCCTTTCAGAAACGTGTCAACCAGATTTGATTTTTTGCTATCATGGATCACATCCTTGCAGATTCGCAGCAGAGTATTAGGAAGTAGAAGAAGACAAGGGAGGAGAAGGAGAAGAGAAGAAGGTGCAGGTAGTGATGGTTGTCATGTATTAGCAATATGTCACATTACACAACCGGACTATCCCCGTTTCTTCCTCTTCATCCCGTCCCAAGCTGTCTGCTGTTGTGCAGGACAAAACTTTTCCTCGAATCTTGTTCTTCTTCTCCTCTTCCAACACATTTTCCTCTCCCCTTCAGCTTTGAATGTAACTGCCCCCACATGGCATCACCAAGCCGTCCACAGCTTCCTCATACCTATTGTCCATGCGGCTTGGCAGCGATGTCCCCGCCAACGTCACTTCGTTGGGTTGCGTGTAGTGATGGTTGTCATGTATTGGCAATATGCCACATTACACGACCGGACTATCCCCGTTTCTTCCTCTTCATCCCATCCCAAGCTGTCTGCTGTTGTGCCGGACAAAACTTTTCCTTGATTCTTGTTCTTCTTCTCTTCCAACATATTTCCCTCTCCCCTTCAGCTTTGAATGTAACTGCCACATGGCATCACCAAGCCGTCCCCAGCTTCCTCATACCTATCTATTGTTCATGCGGCATGGCAGTGATGTTCCCGCCGACGTCACTTGGTTGGGGTGTGTGTGTGTGCATCACCCCACTTATGCCCTCCACATCCACCTCCCGGGTCACTAGAGCCACCGTTTGGAAAAACAACCAGTGTGGCGCACACCCGGGTCCCTGCTGCCACAGCTTGCCCTTGGGGAAACGGCCGGCAAATGGGGAAACAACTGGTGTGCACCGCCACTCCATCGGGTGCCTGGGTCCCCAATGCAGCCGCTCGCCCTTTGGGGAAACCGCTCCCCTGTCCCACCACTCACATGGGTCTTGTGTGGGCCCATCACATGACACCCAGGATACGTCCTCGAGATAGAGATAGGGGAAAAAAGAAAACAGGGCTCCATTATATTCTGGGGAGGCACTATTCTCCTTCTGGCTTCTGATGTCTAATTTACTTGATCAGTCATCACATCTCAGCTTCAGTAATGTCTCACTTAGGGAACTGGATAAAGGATTGCTTGAGCAGACAAGGCAGAAGAACGACACTTAGGATAGGGAGTTATTGTATTCCTGAGTAATGGAGCACAATGCGCCCCCCATGATAAGTAAAACCTATCACATCCTGCAATCATGGTCTTGCAAGAGACTTCGAACCCCAGACAAGCTCTGCTTACGTGCATAAGGGACAGCCGACCTGTTTCACAGTTTTGTATTTATATGGTGTGCATTTTCCAAAAGAAGACCAGTTCTTCTGGATATCTTGCCATGTAATTTGACTGTGTGAGAAAAGTATCCGTGTCCAGCAATTCGGCGGAGATGTCTGAATTGCTACTGTTTTTTTTTTTTTTTATTTTTTTTTTGCTGCAGTTTATTCTTGTTGTAACAAATGCCTGAAATGATGCAGAATCTATTCCTTCCTGCAGGGTCTAGAGTGTGTCAGGCTTGTGCAGTGTGCACGGCAGCTTGCACAGGTGCCAGGACCTGGATCAACTCTAGAACTGATCCAACTTCAAATCAACTTATCCCAGGGTCAAATTTTGGATTCCAAGGGATCTGCAGTCAGCTAGCTTATTGAAAGCATTATTGGTTTCTCTTCAACCACATCCCCGGATGTGAAGTTGTCCACGGAAACAATAGACTGCTCATTGTTGGAACTTGGAACCATGAAATGCCATCCCCAGACCAGTTTCTACCTCCTGATCATTCTGCACTTCCCAACCATTGAGGAGTGACAGAACCCAGTGAGCCGATGGAAAGGACATAGCAGTTGTTTGCTGACCAAAGAACAAGGATACGTACGAGTCGATAATTATGAGACTGATTATGAAAAGAAAACGTAAAAGATCATACCAGAGTCGCTATGTGCAAGGGAACCCCAGATGTGTAGTTTAGCGGGATATCCACCAAGCCAACCAGGTGTGTCATGCAGAAACATATCGCACAGATTTCCTGGCAGTGCAGCAATGCAGTTATGGTTGTTGTCATGACGAGTAAAAGACCCCGTAACGAGCAATACTTCTGTGTAGGCACATATCCAATTGAACGTAGAATGGGGGAGGTGCAAATCGATAGGAATTGAAATGTGGAGTCCATGAGGCAGGCAGAATATGAGAGGGGAGAGAGAGAGATGGAGAGGCAGGAGGTAGTTGCCTTCATACAATCAGTAGTATCAGGTTACACCACCGTCTTGAGGGCACTGTGAAAGCTGTTTTCATCTTGTCTCTTGTACCAGATCATTTGAGACCCAGATAAGAGTGGATGAGGGAGGTCTGGAGGGCAAAAACGTGAATGGCAATAGGATTGGTGAAATACAAGATAGTTACCGAGCTGTTTATGATTACGCAAACAAACAAACAAACAAACAAACAAAAAAAGCAACCGGCAAGAGACAGTATGAAAGCTGTTCTTTAATGCTTTTATAGAGTCTGCAAAAGGAGAAGTCGGAAATGACAGGCGCAACATTCATTTATTATGTTCTCAAAGCTGCCATTGCTTTTCAAAGTCATTTACTGGAGTGCACAAATTCGTCCTGAGCTTGGAGAGCAGATGCAATGTGTCGAATGGTATCCTCTCTGTAGGACTCATATGAGGAAGTCTGCTTTTCATTTCTCCTATAGTCCATGTGGAGGACACTGTCCACATATTTCCAAGTGTCAGAGCAGCCTTGTATGGTGGCCACTGCGTAGTCCCTGGCGGCTTGGTGGATAATTCGAAGCTGGGATAGCACTCTGCGGGCTCCAAATTGGTGGACAGGTTCCCACCAGTTGGCATTGTCCGACAATGTAGGTTGTTGTGTGGAAACGGATGCAGCAAGGTGTTGGGAAATATGCAGAATACGCCGGTATCTGTAGCTTTCGAAAGGAAGTGACCTGTCACTACTGTGTGGGTGGTCATCCTGGAGGATGACGTTGATAGTGGGAAGCAGATGATGGTCCGGAGAAGTTTGCTGGACTTGATTGCAATTAATGGCCAGGTGGCGTTCTCTTGCTGTTTTGTGGGCAGAGAATTGATGCCAGATGTCTGGGCCGGCTTCTCCATGGAAAGTTGCCAAAAAGTCCTCCCACAGGAGCTGTCTGTAAAGCCGCCAGAGGCCAATGCTATGTGCAATAGAGCTCCACTGAGCCGCTTGCTTGATCGTGGGGAGGTTGTTCAAGGGAGACATGTGTGTTCGGGGTGTTACAGCCATGGGAGGGAGATAGGCGTGGGTTTGGGTGTATTTTTCAGCAAGGGGTTGTGTTGAGTGTGCAGAAAAAGATGGTGGTTTTGCTGGGGATGGGGAGACCGAACGGTGATATCGAGGTTGAGAGCCTTGAGACTGTGATGGCAATAACGATTGTTCGTCTCGAGGATGGGGGGAAGGCTGTGTGAGCTCTTCGGAGTGGACAAGGTCAGAGGGGAAATGAGCATCGAGGTCAAGTGATGGTATGTCGTCGATTGAGGATGTGTGTGTGATGTCTTCCCATCTAGCTAGGTAAGTTTGTGTAGGTGCTGATGTTGATGGGAGGGATGTTGAAGGTTCAGGATTGGTTTCAACTGGAGCAACTAGTGATGGATCAGGTTCGAGTGATGGAGTGCGCATGTGTGAAGTTGTGAGTTGACATGGACTGTTGCGTGATGCAGTTTTAGTGCTTCTTCCACATGGAGATTTTGGGTTTCTTCTGCACCATGGTGGATCTTTTGTGTTCCTCCGATATTCTTTGTATTCCAACGGAGATGTTGTGCCATATGAACTATGTGTTGTTGATTCGCCCGCATTTCCATCATGCCCAGCTTGGCCATCTGTTGGCTGAGGCTCCAAATCTTCATGCTGGTCACCAGCCTCTTGTTTGATGATGATCTCATTGCCAGAGCGTCGATCTGCAGCATGAATGACAAGGGCAGAGGAGGGTGTGTGGAAGGTGCGAGAGTTGTTAGGTGAGGACCCCTACAGCGATGTTGGTAGTAATAGTTGTGTGTTGTGGAAGGGCAACTCAAATCACATGGTGAGGTGACATGTCGGTAAAGTGCATTGCTGGAAAGTAGGGGAAAGACAAGTTTCAGAAAGTTTGTATATCTATAGATTCTACCATTGACGTTGCGGTAATGTTCCTGCACCTGTTAGAACTTAGAAAGTCCAGCTGTGTTACTTGTCACTGCAAAGTCCGAATGGTGAATTGTCCACATTGCCAGCAGAGGTGAAACTTAATGTCTTGCGCAAGTTCCTGAGTGGAATGAGATCCTCCTGACCAACCTTATACAGTGATGTTTGTCATGCATCAGAGTCGGAGTACCTCAAAGCACATCAAAGTGCACAAGTGGACATGGTCCAGGAGGTACATGATAGCATGTGGCCCTGAGAATTTCATTCCCCGGTTACCAGGTACCATGTTGCAGCGGAAGGCATTTGGCTTGTGTGCTAGACGCTGAGGACACTAGAAAGGGATTCCCTCAAGCCTAGGGGGTTCAACGGACCAGTAGCACTACATTGTAGGCATCTCTACATCATCAGCACTTGGACTGAGGGCATCCTTTTTATGCCAAGTTTTTAGTTTTTTATTTTTAAGTAAAATAGAGGTCCTTATGGTCCTGACTCCATCTCTCTTCTGCGGAGCATCAGTCCAGGTCCTTTTCTCTCGAAATTTGACATAAAATACCCACTCATGCTTCCTTCCATATGGCCATAGGAACCCTGATCAGCATTGGTTACTCCATTCCTGGAGGATTGACCGTCAGCTTGCCTTTCTTCCTCTCATTCCTCTCGGACCTTTTCCCGAGTCTGTGAGATTGAACTTGTTGCCTGAGAATGAGAGCATCGAGCCAGCGAATTGGACATTAAGTCCTTGCCAACTTCTTCTTGCGGAAAAGGGCTGGTGGTTGCCTCTCATGTCCATATGGCACACTATTCTTTCCCTGTTTACGCCAAATTTTTAGTTGTCCGATTTTGTGTATTGATTTTTCGCGGCAGAACTCAGCAGGTTCATTGTCTTTCCCCAGTTTGGTTGTTTCTATGCTGGGGAGAGCTGTCTGGTAATGTTGGGCTCGAGATTGCTAAGCTCCTTTGCACCTAGGGGTAGTGATCTTGGTTGTCCTGTATTTCACATCTCTTAGCTGAGGTCTTGTCTCATGGCGGACTAGGAGTTGCTGATGCAGCATAGCTGCCTTGCCGCCAGTGTGATGCCCAGACCATGGATGGAGGAGAGCACACGGTTGTTTCTTTGGCTGTTCTCACCCATAGACAGATCGTAGACGGACCTGATGCTGCAGGGGGATAGCAGATTGGAGAGGAGATCCCATTGTCACTATCCAGAGGAGGCATGGGCAGAGGAAGTAAACTACTTCCTCCTGTCATTCTTCTGCCAAGCTGAACTAGCGACGTCACACTGGAGCAGCATCAGTGGGTTGGAAAGAATAGTAGCAGTGGCCACGTAGATCAATACAGAAGCAGTTGTAGCGCCATCCTGCCAAGGTTGAGGAGGTGATATGGTCTTCGGCAGCTGGGAGCACGGAGTGGATCAAAGTATGTTCCATAGCTCCTCTTTTGGAGATCTTTCACCATAGCCAGTAGCTGAAGACTCACCTGGATCCTGCATTGGCATGGCTTCAAGACTTCATCTTTCCACTGTTTAGCTCAATCATCCATCTCTCTCTCTCTCTCTCTCTCTCTCTCTCTCTCTCTCTCTCTCTCTCTCTCTCTCTCTCNCTCTCTCTCTCTCTCTCTCTCTCTCTCTCTCTCTCTCTCTCTCTCTCTCTCTCACACACACACACACACACACACACACACACACACACACACCGAACACATCATACAAAGCCCCCAGTTACTGGGGCAACCCGGCCCCTGTTATTGTACGAGACAATTGTACGAGACAATTCACAGGATTGCAAAGCCTCAGATGGGGGTTCTCATTCAATTATTTATGCAGTTATGTAATTAGCTCATCGTCTATTTTATATATGGCGGCGGTGTTCGCTGGGGGTTATTTTGATTAGGGTTATACAAGAGGAGACAAATTGACAAGCAGGTGGTTTCATATTGAGGGGCATTATTACAATTGGGATATCATCTTCTTCATCTCCTTTCTCTTCTTTTCCTTCACGCTTTCCCTCTCAGAATTCGTCCACAGACAAGGGAGGGATCCTCTATTAACGTCCGCTCTCCCAACTATCTCATGACTGAGCGACCACCACTGCTTTACCATGCATGCAATGTCCGCACTTCTCCTTGCCCTCAGCCTGCTATGATCATTGTGAATTTGTGAAAAAAATCCTCTTTCTGGTCCATAGTACAGGATGCACACATGGATGTGCTGAGGTGATCAACCTCACATTGCTCCTTTGCTCCAATGAGCCGGCGCTCAGAGGTGACCAGTGCTCTGTGCTTGGTAATTGTGTCATATGTCACATCTTGGAATTTTCAAAGATGATAGTTGGCACACTTTGCGTGAACAAGGAAAACGGCAGGCATAGATGGCCTGTCATGATCAACAAGGAAGTCAGCATTTGGCAAATGTGAAGGCAATCAACAGCATCATCGAGGATGATATTGTTGATAATGGTTGCCTCCTCTCTGTATGAGGAGAAGATGGGTGCTCATGAATCTGTTCTTGTTATTTTGTGAATGGGAAGAATCTGATCTACTTGCCATAGAGCAGCTGTAACGCTTGACAGTTTGGCTGGGCAACCTGCCAGTCCAGGTTGCCCAAACCCCTAGGGAGCCCCAAACTGATAGCTTTAGCACAACCCACCAAGAGAGGAAGGACCAGATTCCCATTCCCCAAAGGTGGGCTGAATTCCTGGCCATGAATACCAACAGATATATTCTGGATACATGTCTGCAATGCTCAAAATTTGAATGAGAGTGCAACTACAAGCCTGCATATCTGCTAACGTCTGATCTTGCTGCTGCTGGCTACTGCTGCCGCTACCACTACTACCACTACCACTACCACTACCACTACCACTACCACTACCATACCACTACCATACCACTACCACTACCACTACCACTACCACTACTAGTCTACTACTACCACTAATACTACTACCGCTACTACCACTGCCACGACTACCACTACCACTACCACAACTATCACTACCACTACTACCACTACCACTACTACCACTACCACTGCCATCACTACCACTGCTACCACTACCACAACCACCACTACCACTACAACCACTACCTCCACTAACGCCACCACCACTACCACCACCACCACTACCACTACCTCCACTAACGCCACCACCTGTACCACCACTACCACTACCACTACCACTACCACTACCACTACTACCACCACCACTACTACCACCACCACTACTACTACCACTACCACTACTACTACAGATCCCACTCGTTGAAAAGGAGAAGCAGTAAGAGCAGGAGAGGATTTTCATTTCCTTCATTTCAAGACCTTCAGGATCTTCAAGGGAGGAAAGGCTGAAGTCATAATCCAGAAGGGCCTTGGAGGCCTTACCCTCCTCTTCCCTTTTCAGGAACTTCACCACTCCCGAACACTTACAGAGGGGACGAGGGCTGAAGATCCTAAATGTCCCAAAGCTAGGGAAATCCCTAAACAGGAAGGGGGACGCATCACACTTCTTTTCCCTCCCCCCACTTTAGGATATTCAGGATGGGCAAAGGTGAAGGTGGGCTGAACATCCTCCACATTGGGCACCACAAGGCTAGCCACAGGCTGACCTTTCTTGAGAAAGGCCCACAGGCAGGTTTTCCCTTATAGAGCAGCCAAAGAAACAAGTCCTGATGATGTGCTGTTTGAAAGCAAAAACAAAAGACAAGCAATGTTGACTACTAAAATGATTTAGACTGTCTGGATCGCTAAGCCGCGGCATGGATCATAAGTGGGTTGAAGATAAGTGACATCAGCACTCTAGCTGGATGTGAAAAAGTAGGTCCAGTTAGAGGTTTTATTTTTCAATTTGGTTAGAGCTTGGCAACCTTCCTGCCCTAGGGTGGTGAGGTTGTTCTGGTCTGAAGTTTTCTGAACAAAATTGCCAAAAAAAGGGGTTTGTCCACGATAGTAACTGCATAATCAAAGTGGTCATGTATTTCCACTTATCTAGGTGAAGGCTAATCCTAATACCCCAGATGGAGCAGTACCGAGAGTGCAGGACAACTCATGAACGGGATGGACATGGTGTGCAAGGTGGGATTGATATCGCACACGCACACCATTGACAGCGTACTCCGACAAAGAAGAAGAGACACAAACAAAAACAGCAGCATAACTGAATGAATGCAGAAAACAAGTACACCAATATCAACTTATCAAGTGACCTAGCAGCTGCAGACATGAGACACCGAATATCACAAGTGCGCATATGCCTACATGACACCAAGGAAGATTTCATGGAGGAAGACCAACCTAAGGGATACGCAAGGGGAGGCTAGACTGCAATCAGGAGAGCCAAGACGACGCCATGAGAGAGGTCATGAAGTGAGTACTAACCAATGCGATGCAGGTGAGACATGTGACACAAGGAATAGGGGGATGAAAGCTCGAGAGTAAAGGTGACCCTATCCCGACCGAGGTAATCTGGGCCAAGGTAGTGAAATCTGAAGGCACCAACGCTGAAGAATGGCAGCGCCAGACGGGAATGAACGAAACTACATACCTCTCAAAGATATCGAAGCAGAAGTCGAGATCAAAGATGCTCCCGACATTGTTAATGTTGAAGTATTTAAAATGATGTCGGAATGGACAAAGACGAGGAGCGATGCGTACGTACGATCAATTGTCATAACAATGAGAAGGGTGACGAGCGCATTGTGGACATGAAGATGAATCGTTCGTCTACTCAGGCACCATAGCTGAGAGGCCAATCAGAGCCGAGACTAGATTTCAAGAGGCTGG